CAAAGGACAGAGACAGACAGTCCCAGAGCAGCGGAGGGCACCATGCCCAAACCTCCAGCACTTGTTACAGAGCCGAGGAGAAGGAATGTACTCCTGGACAGAGCACCTGGCACCAGCAAGAATGACAGAGGGTGGAAGGGTCCGACCATCAAAGGTAATCTTCACAACCCGGAGGGGTTGACGGCGACTACCACGAGGGGGACGAGTAAACTTGTCCACCTGGAGAATAGAATGGCCCTGGGCAGCAAGGATATGTCGAATATCGTCGTGGCAGTCGCGCAGGTCCCGAACACCGGTCGCAACATGGGGCGGGAGCAGAATAGTGCCAACACTGGCATTCAACTGAGCGTTCTTCGAGACCCGAACAGGGGTCTCGTCAAGGCAGGATAAGGCAGCCAAGCGGGAAGCAGCATCCTGAGAAGGAGCAGCAACGACACGTGTACCGAGACGAGTGGGGTTGAAAGTAATGGAGGCATCCACGGAATCAACGAGATGTCGATGGAGGGAGAAATCGTCAGGAGGCGCAGAATCAAGAGGGAGGAGATCAAAATATTTGGCCCACGAAGCGGGACCAAACAAGGCTTGATAGGTAGCAGAACTGGAAGGAATCGAGCGAGGGCGCCCGTGACGAGGACGGCGGTGAGAACCCCCAGAGAGAGAGGGGTTAAAAGGCGCAGTAGTTACAACTAGAGAAGGAGCCGCGCCAGGGGACGGAACACCTGTCTCTGAGTCAGAAACGAAAGCCTTTCTCCTCGCCTTCGTCCTCCTCCTCCTCTGACTCTCTCGCTCCGTCCCCTTCCATTTCAGTGGTCAGGCCCCCTGTCTCAGCAATGGAGATTTCTTTAGCTTCTGATTCCCTCTCAGTTGCTGCCCCTATTGAGGTGCGCTCCCTTGTTTCAGCCCCCTTCTCCGTGCAAGACCGTGCAAGATATCGAAGACAGTAGCGATCACAGTGGTCCTGGAGATATAGGAAGCCAGTGTCAGCTCATCAGATCGTCGACATAAAGAGCGGAGAAGATGGCAGAAGGGAGGGATTAAAGAAGATCATTGACGGCAACCAGAAAAAGAGTAGTGCTTAGAACACTACCTTGTGGTACACCTTCCTGTTGCTGAAAAGAGGCAGAAAGAGTGGTACCAAGCATGACTCGAGAGGAACGAGGAGAGAGGAAGCTTTGGAGGAAGAGAGGGAGATTACCACGAAGGCCAAAAGAACGAAGTTGAGACAATATATCTCCAGGTTGTGTCATAAGCCTTTTCCACGTCAAAGAGGACAGCAACAACGGAGGTCTTCGCAGCAAAAACAGTACGAATATAGACCTCCAAGTTCACCAGGACATCAGTTGTGCTGCGGCACTTGCGAAAACCAAATTGAGAAGGGGAGAGGTGGTAATGGTGTTCCATGAACCACATCAGACGGACATTTACCATAAGCTCAAAGAGTTTGCAGACACAACTCATGAGGACAATAGGGCGGAAGTCCTTAGGGGATGTCCAGAGAGACCCTGGTTTCCGAATAGGAAGTACAACGGCATCGAGCCAATTCTCAGGGACTGACAAGGACTCCCAGACCTGTTATACAGACTCAGTAAATACTGAGACGTGCAAGGAGGGAGATGGCGAAGCATCTCATAATGAATGTCATCCAAGCACTGGTGCCATAGAACCACAGAGGGCCAGGGCAGACTGAAGTTCAGAGAGAGAAGTGATCGTTATAGGGAAGGCGGACGAGTGTGGAAATCTAAGGGACGAGATTCAAGAACGGGCTTACAAAGAAGGAAGGATTGAGGAAAATGAGAACCAGAGCTAACAGAAGAAAAGTGGGAACCCAGTTCGGTCGTGACCTGCACTGGGTCCGCCACAAGAGTACCACAGAAGTGAAGAACCGGCGAGATATCTGGAACAAACTTACCCGCAATCTTGTGGATCTTCTTCCAGATCTCCGGTAGGGGAGTAACGGACGTAATGGTGGAAACGTAAGATTTCCAACGCAAATGCTTAGCTGTACGGATGGTCCTACGGGCCACTGCACTTGCTTTCCAAAACAAAATAAAAGAATCAGCCGTCTGTCGGCGTCTGTGTTTCTTCCAGGCTGCACGCTTACAGCAAACAGCCCGAGCACACTCCGCATTGCACCAGGGAACACACTTCCGCGTGCCCCGGGAGGTAGAGCGAGGAATAGAGCGGACGGCAGCGTCAAAGACGGTGTCATGAAATAGGAGGAGGGCTCGAGGGTTAGGCAGAGTGGAGAGGTCAGTTGAGAGTAGCACGGTGGGTGAATAGGTTCCATTCAGCCTTGGCAAACTGCCACCTAGGGAAGGAGAGAGAAGGGTGAAAAGAGAAATAGGTAACAAGGATGGTGAAATGGTCACTGTTATAGAGGTCATCAAGAACCCGCCACGTGAAATCTAAGTAAAGGGACGACAAGCAGAGAGAATGATCAAGATCGGAAAGGGTACGAGTGCAGGAGTCAACATGAATGGGTTCACCAGAATTCAAAAGAGACAGGGAAGAAGAGAGGACGAACGGTTCGAGAAGGCGGCCTCGGGTATTTGTCAAAACATCACCCCAGAGGGTATGTCGACAGTTGAAGTCACCCAACAGGAGCACAGGCTCTGGCAAGGAGTCCAGTAGGTGCTTAAGATCAGGAAGGGAAATTAGGACATTTGTTGGGGAGATAAATGGAACAGACCGTATAGCATTTACTCACAAAGACACGGGCTGCAGAACATTGGATAGGTAATTGAAAAAGTAGGGGGACGAAGTACGAATCAAGAGAGTAGTAGAGTTATGGGCCCCAGCAAGAGCTGGGGGGCGGGAGCGGAGAGAAAGGAATAACCTGGAAAGTGACCAGGTGAAAGTGACAAAGCGGTGAAAACTGTGTAATCAGAAGTTGGAGTTCATGAAAATTGGCATTAAAGCCACGAATATTCCAATGAAGAATAGACATTGTCAAAAGGAGAGAGGACAGCAATAGAGAACAATGAAGAAACAAAGGCAAAGAATGAAGCATATTAAAGAATCTCAGGATCAGGATCAGTGAAATCAGGGTTAGAGAGCATAGGTAACCCTAGTAAGAATGGAGTTAAGGGAGTGGGAGGACAGATTTTAGGTGGACGGACAGGGTCCGGAGGAGGAGACAACCGAGAGGAGCTGTGAAGGACAGCAGGGGGGGGGGGGGGGAGAAACCGGGGAGCACACCTCAGCAAAGGCAGCAACCTAGAGGGAAGCGGGGCTAAAGAAACCTCTATAGCTGGGACTGGGGGGCCCGACTACCAAAACGGGACGGGACTTGGTCCCCACACATGGGACATAGAAACACACAGTACTTGTGCATTTGAGGGCACCATGCCCGAACTTCCAGCACTTATTACAAAGTCTAGGAGAGGGAATGTACTCCTGAACGGAGCATCTGGCACCAGCAAGAATGACACAGGACGGAAGGGTCCTACTATCAAAGATGAGTTTCACAACTCGAAGGGGCTGACGGCGCCGACCATGAGGAGGTCGAGTGAACGTGTCCACCTGGAGGACAGGATGGCCTTGGGCTTCGAGGATATGTTTAATATCCTCATGGCAGTCTTTTAGGTCCCTAACACCAGTTGCAACATGGTGCGGGAGGAGAACAGTGCCAACACTGGCATTTAACCGAGCTTTTTTGGAGACCTGAACAGGGTCTCCCGAAATACTGGACAATGCTGCTAAGCTGGTAGCTGCATCCTGAGAACGAGCAGCGACAACACGTGTACTGATATGGGTGGGGTTAAAAGTAACAGAGGCATCCACCGAATCAGCAAGGTGTTTATGAAGAGAGAAATCGTCAGGAAGTGTAGAATCCAGATGGTTAAGATCAAAGTATTTAGCATTTGGTCCCACATAGCGGGACCAAATAAGACATGGTAGAGACGGAGCTGTGCCATGGGACGAGGTGGTCACCAATGGGGGCTTGGGACTCGAACCTACCACAGAGGAGGGAGGGGAGTGGGGGGGGGGGAGTAGTCTGGTCTGGGCCCAATGTAGCGGGGGCTACAGAACCCGGTCTTCCATCACAGTCCGACACAGGGTCCTGGTCGCCCATCCCAGGAGCCTGGGTAATAGAGGTCATATCAATATCCATGTCGTGTATTTTAGAAAGGTCTGGGGCCTAGAACCAAGGAAAACCACCTACCAGGGCAGCCAGGGACGCCAAGCATGGGCCAGTGCAGGAAGGTGTGCATCGTTCCAGTGGTGCTCCCCTTTTTAACAGGGGAGTCCTACTGCTTCGTCCATTCTCCTAAACTGGTTCAAAGACCTCATTCTCCCTATTGCCCCAGCCTGGACACTCAGACATCCACTTAGAGCAGTCCCTCATGGTCGACCCCTCCAGCGGGCGGTCCGGTGACTCACAAGGACCCTACGCTTGTGTTCATTCGCACGTACAACCCCCAAAGAGGGGCAGGAAAGGGGGCTGGGGCACCCCTCACCGGTCCCAGAGAGGTGAGGGGGGCTGGGGCACCCCTCACCGGTCCCAGAGAGGTGAGCGTGAGCCCCTCACCACGACAAGGAGACACAGTGGAGGGAGGGAAATAGAAAGTATCCCAGTATTTTATTCAACATTACTTATTCATTAATTTATTTGCAATAATTCAGTTAGGACACCTTGCATGTCATGTGACCCCCGTGGGAGCCAAACGATGCTGTGTTTAATTTTTCTATGTTTTCTTTGTCAGCTGTGAATAATGATCTGTATCCAGGACTCAAACATTGAGAATGACAGTTGTGTCTCATCACAACAGTGGTCAACTTCATCACAACATCTCGAGTCATTCTCAGTTTCTCAGTGGTAGAGGATCTGATACAACTCATTAATCATGCTGATGTTTGAGACATAATCCAAACACTGTCATTTGACTCTCAGTGGGATGGCACCAAACATTTCTTACAACCAAACTTCACTTGACTCTCCTACAAACCTCAACCAACCTATTACCTGCAGAATGTAATGCATGTATCAATTGTTATAGAGGTGCAGAGCTAATGGTGTGGTATGGAGACGAATATGCCTCGGAACTGGGTTTGTCCAGAGAAGTTTTCCAGTGGTGTTCAGGTGACACACTTAAAGGTAAGCTTTATGGTGCTTTATATATTTCAATACTTCTTAAGTATTAATATTTCACAGTGGTAATGAAGTTCTCGACTTAGTTGAAGATCCCAGGTACGATCGCAGAGCAGGACAAATGGTTTGGCACGTTTCCTTTCACCTTATGTCTCTGTTTACCTAGCAGTAAATAGGTACCTGGGAGTTAGGTACCTGGTGAATATTACATCCAGTATAGACGGAACATTCCCTTCCCTCATTCTTGTGGCATACTTAGCGTGATGATACACGAATGTCTCCAGAATGAGGTTTACAAATTTGCCTGTCCAAATGTCCTATGTTCTTTCTTCGTAGGCCTCCCAGTCTACTGCTTTTGAGTTGAAGTTCCCCAGTACCAAAAGTCGTGATTTATGTTTGTCTGCTTTTACTATAATCTCTCTCATGAGCATTATGAGGTAATCTTGTTTGTCATGTAGTTCCTCCTTTGTCTATGTGTTGCTGGCTGCTGGGCTGTAAACATTTACGAGTATCAGTTTATCATCCTGATTCTAAACGTGCACTGCCATAATGTCAACTTCTCGAGGGGTTTTGGTTATTAACTCTCTTACCTTCAGGTGTTCTTTCATAAGCACAGCCACTCCTGCCCCCTTCCTAGTTTTCCTGTCACGTCTCCAAACTGTGTAACCCCCTTGGGAATCCAACCTCATTTAAAGTATTTTCTTCAAGTAAGTAATTATCTAAAGAAGTCTCCAAGCCGGGAAGGCTATGTAGCACCGTTAAATGTGCGGATATTCAAAACGTGGTAAATATCACTAAGGATGCCAATACAAGAACAAAGCGCATAAGGTGAACAATAACAAAGGTATCCGATTCACCAAGGATTCTATTGAGGGACGGGTGACTGCGAGGGACAGTCGGAAAGCAAGACACACCCACATTCTGGAAGCCAGGACATTCAACAAGGATATGCACAACTGTCAGAAGGACAATGCAGTTTGGACAATAAGGAGCAGAGCGGTGCTCCATTAAGTGCCTGTGAGCTGAACGTTTATGGATAATAAGTAACCTCGCCAGAGCCGTTTCCCACTGCCGGTTATGGGAGTAGGAGGAAGGCCAAGAGGACATGCTACCCTTAAGAGCATACAGCTTGTTACCAGTAACAGAGGACCAGTGAACCTGTCAAAGGGGCACGGATTGAGGTAAATAACTGGGTAAAACTCAAAATAAGAAATACTTTTGCGGGGAAATGGCACAAGTGCGGATAGCCTCCTTCACGGCAGCATCCGAATGTTCATTTAAGTTAACACCAATATGGCTGGAAACCCAGCAAAACTCCACTGTCTTAAATCTGTAAGATGAAACAGATAAGAATAAGAAACAGATAAGAAAAAGCCAATATTGAATTTTGAAATCCCGCACTCGCACCCTCTCAAAGGAGTGTGTGCGAGTGCGGGAGTCAACATGGGCGGCCTCACCAAAATTCAGAAGAGACAGAGAAGAAGAGAGGACAAACAGTTCAAGAAGGCGGCCCCGGGTGTTTGTTAGAGCATCACCCCAGAGGGAATGTCGACAGTTGAAGTCACCCAACAGCAGCACCGGCTCCGGCAAGGAGTCCAGGAGGCCCTTAAGATCAGGGAGAGAAATGTAATGGACTGTATACCATTTAGTAACAAAGACAAGGCTGCAGAACAATGGATAGGCAATTGAAAAAGTATTAGGATGAAGGAATATCATTACTGATGAAGAGCAGTAGAGTTATGGGCCCCAGCAAAAACCTGAGGAGATAAAAGAGAAGAATACCCTGGGAAGTGACCAGGACCAGCACCAAGCACCGGCTCCTGGAGACACACACCAAGCACCGGCTCCTGGAGACACGCACCAAGCACCGGCTCCTGGAGACACGCACCAAGCACCGGCTCCTGGAGACACACACCAAGCACAGGCTCCTGGAGACACACACCAAGCACCGGCTCCTGGAGACACCAAGCACCGGCTCCTGGAGACACGCACCAAGCACCGGCTCCTGGAGACACGCACCAAGCACCGGCTCCTGGAGACACGCACCAAGCACCGGCTCCTGGAGACACACACCAAGCACCGGCTCCTGGAGACACACACCAAGCACCGGCTCCTGGAGACACACACCAAGCGGCTCCTGGAGACACGCACCAAGCACCGGCTCCTGGAGACACACACCAAGCACCGGCTCCTGGAGACACACACCAAGCACCGGCTCCTGGAGACACGCACCAAGCACCTCCTGGAGACACACACAACACCAAGCACCGGCTCCTGGAGACACACACCAAGCACCGGCTCCTGGAGACACACACCAAGCACCGGCTCCTGGAGACACACACCAAGCACCGGCTCCTGGAGACACGCACCAAGCACCGGCTCCTGGAGACACGCACCAAGCACCGGCTCCTGGAGACACGCACCAAGCACCGGCTCCTGGAGACACGCACCAAGCACCGGCTCCTGGAGACACACACCAAGCACCGGCTCCTGGAGACACGCACCGGCTCCTGGAGACACGCACCAAGCACCGGCTCCTGGAGACACGCACCAAGCACCGGCTCTTGGAGACACGCACCAAGCACCGGCTCCTGGAGACACACACCAAGCACCGGCTCCTGGAGACACACACCGGCTCCTGGAGACACACACCAAGCACCGGCTCCTGGAGACACGCACCAAGCACCGGCTCCTGGAGACACACACCAAGCACCGGCTCCTGGAGACACGCACCGGCTCCTGGAGACACACACCAAGCACCGGCTCCTGGAGACACACACCAAGCACCGGCTCCTGGAGACACGCACCAAGCACCGGCTCCTGGAGACACGCACCAAGCACCGGCTCCTGGAGACACACACCGGCTCCTGGAGACACGCACCAAGCACCGGCTCCTGGAGACACACACCAAGCACCGGCTCCTGGAGACACACACCAAGCACCGGCTCCTGGAGACACACCAAGCACCGGCTCCTGGAGACACACACCAAGCACCGGCTCCTGGAGACACACACCAAGCACCGGCTCCTGGAGACACACACCAAGCACCGGCTCCTGGAGACACACACCAAGCACCGGCTCCTGGAGACACACACCAAGCACCGGCTCCTGGAGACACACACCAAGCACCGGCTCCTGGAGACACGCACCAAGCACCGGCTCCTGGAGACACGCACCAAGCACCCGGCTCCTGGAGACACGCACCAAGCACCGGCTCCTGGAGACACGCACCAAGCACCGGCTCCTGGAGACACACACCAAGCACCGGCTCCTGGAGACACGCACCAAGCACCGGCTCCTGGAGACACGCACCGGCTCCTGGAGACACGCACCGGCTCCTGGAGACACGCACCAAGCACCGGCTCCTGGAGACACACACCAAGCACCGGCTCCTGGCGACACACACCAAGCACCGGCTCCTGGAGACACACACCAAGCACCGGCTCCTGGAGACACACACCAAGCACCGGCTCCTGGAGACACACACCAAGCACCGGCTCCTGGAGACACACACCAAGCACCGGCTCCTGGAGACACACACCAAGCACCGGCTCCTGGAGACACACACCAAGCACCGGCTCCTGGAGAGCCACACACACCGGCTCCTGGAGACACACACCAAGCACCGGCTCCTGGAGACACGCACCAAGCACCGGCTCCTGGAGACACACACCGGCTCCTGGAGACACACACCAAGCACCGGCTCCTGGAGACACGCACCAAGCACCGGCTCCTGGAGACACACACCAAGCACCGGCTCCTGGAGACACACACCAAGCACCGGCTCCTGGAGACACACCAAGCACCGGCTCCTGGAGACACACACCAAGCACCGGCTCCTGGAGACACACACCAAGCACCGGCTCCTGGAGACACACACCAAGCACCGGCTCCTGGAGACACACACCAAGCACCGGCTCCTGGAGACACACACCAAGCACCGGCTCCTGGAGACACACACCAAGCACCGGCTCCTGGAGACACACACCAAGCAACGGCTCCTGGAGACACACACCAAGCACCGGCTCCTGGAGACACACACCAAGCACCGGCTCCTGGAGACACGCACCAAGCACCGGCTCCTGGAGACACGCACCAAGCACCGGCTCCTGGAGACACACACCAAGCACCGGCTCCTGGAGACACACACCAAGCACCGGCTCCTGGAGACACGCACCAAGCACCGGCTCCTGGAGACACACCAAGCACCGGCTCCTGGAGACACGCACCGGCTCCTGGAGACACGCACCAAGCACCGGCTCCTGGAGACACGCACCGGCTCCTGGAGACACGCACCAAGCACCGGCTCCTGGAGACACGCACCGGCTCCTGGAGACACGCACCAAGCACCGGCTCCTGGAGACACGCACCAAGCACCGCCTCCTGGAGACACGCACCAAGCACCGCCTCCTGGAGACACGCACCAAGCACCGGCTCCTGGAGACACGCACCAAGCACCGGCTCCTGGAGACACACACCAAGCACCGGCTCCTGGAGACACACACCAAGCACCGGCTCCTGGAGACACGCACCAAGCACCGGCTCCTGGAGACACGCACCAAGCACCGGCTCCTGGAGACACGCACCAAGCACCGGCTCCTGGAGACACGCACCAAGCACCGGCTCCTGGAGACACGCACCAAGCACCGGCTCCTGGAGACACGCACCAAGCACCGGCTCCTGGAGACACACACCAAGCACCGGCTCCTGGAGACACGCACCAAGCACCGGCTCCTGGAGACACGCACCAAGCACCGGCTCCTGGAGACACACACCAAGCACCGGCTCCTGGAGACACGCACCGGCTCCTGGAGACACACACCAAGCACCGGCTCCTGGAGACACACCAAGCACCGGCTCCTGGAGACACACACCAAGCACCGGCTCCTGGAGACACGCACCAAGCACCGGCTCCTGGAGACACACACCAAGCACCGGCTCCTGGAGACACACACCAAGCACCGGCTCCTGGAGACACACACCAAGCACCGGCTCCTGGAGACACACACCAAGCACCGGCTCCTGGAGACACACACCAAGCACCGGCTCCTGGAGACACACACCAAGCACCG